TGTTCAATCTTTTATATCCTTAACTTCTTTTTTGCTTGCTTGTTCAATGAATTACTGGTAGAGTAGTGCTAGAATCTCTAACTCTACTTGTGTGTTTGCCTATTTGTCCTCTTAATTCTATCTCATTTGTTTAATATACTTTGAAGTTCTGTTATTAGAAGCATATGCATTTAAGATTATGTTGTCTTGATGATTTTAGCCTTTGTCAATGAAGTATCACCTTCCTCCCTGGTAATATTCCTTGGCCTAGAATCTTGATATTAATATAACCACTCTAGCTTTCTTTAGATTACTGTTTGCATAGCCTAATTGTTTTCATCCTTTAAACCTATCTTTGTCTTGTTATTTTAAGTGGGTTTCCTGTAGACAGTGTATATAGTTGGGCCTTACTTTACAGTCCTATTAGAACAGTTATATCCTTTTAATTGAAGTTATCAGGTATATACATTTAATGTAGTTATCAACATGGTAGTGTTTAAATCTGTCTTTTCTGTTTGTTCCACCTGTATTTTCATTCCTTTTTTCTGTGCCTTTTTTTGAATTGAGCATTTAGAAGTGTGTTATTTAGTTTCCAAATATTTAGAGATTTCCCAGATATCTTTTTGTTATTGATTTCTAATTCATTTCCATTGCAGCCAGAGAATATACTCTGAATCTTCTCAAATTTAATTGAGATATGTTTTATGGGCTATAATATGATCTTTCTTTTTCAGTGTTTTGGTTCCACCTGAAAAGATACGTATTCTATTGCTATTTGGTGTTTCTTTAATGCCACTCATTAGGCCAAGTTAGTTGATAGTGCTGTTCAGGTATTCAAATCTCTGACTGCACTTGTTTATCCTCACAGTTCTATAAGTTTTTGCTTCAGATGATGAAATGACCCTCTTTTTACTGGCAATATTCATTGCTCTTACATATACTTTGTCTGATATTAACTTAATCACTCCAGATTTCTTTTTATTAGTTTAAGTGTGGCATATAGTTTTTTATTCTTTTACTTTTAATGTACATATACCTGTATATTTAAGTTAAATTTCTTGTAGAGAGCATAATATTGGGTCTTGCTGTTTACTAAATTAGATAATCTTTGCCTTTTATTTGGATGCTTAGATCTTTTACATTTATGTGATTATTGAAATTATTTTGTTTAAATTTACTATCTTACTATTTGTTTTCCATTTCTATCATTTATATCTCTTCCAGTCTTATTCCCTTTTCCTTTTTTTCTGCCGTCTTTTGGATTAACTTAATATTTTCAAAGCATGTATCTTAAGCCTTTTGTTGGCTTATTAACTAATTTATAGTTAATAAATTATGTTATTTTAGTCATTTCTTCTGGGTTTATGGTATATGTTTTAATATACAGAGCCTAACTTAAAGTGATAGTATACTACTTATCTTCAGTACAAGAATCTTACAGCAATGCTAGTTTCATATCTTTCCAGTGAATAACCCCAATAAAATTAAAATTTCTCTTTCTCAGCATTCATTTTTTTAGTCCCAGAGAAGACTAAATCTCCCTGTGTGGGTAAGATACTCATCCCTGAACAGAAGACAGTGGACAGGGGCATGAATACTTTGGTTTGAATTCCTGCAGCAGCCCTTCTAGAACTTTATGGAATTGGGAAGGATTTCACCAGAAGAACCCAAGGATAGAAATGCAAAAGTGAGCTAGCTAGACAAAGACTAGAACTATCACAGACCACTACAGTAAACATCACGAAAGAGTTTACAGGTTCGCAGGTATAGAATTCACACACATTTGCTATCAGTTCCCTATATATCTTGCCAACAATACTGACCTTGGCCACACAAAGCAAAAGCAAATGAAGCATTTCTTTGTATGACATTTTCCTTCCCCATGGACCCCTCCAGGGCATTTAGCCACCAGTGACACCTCTGCATATCTTATTTCTGTCAAGCTGGAATAGAAGCCAAACACTCCATACTCTTTTGTATTTGACTTTTATCAGCATCCTGGAAAATTTTTTGCTAACAATATGAATACTTGTGTGTAAGGCAGTGTTTCTCAACCTTGGCACTACTGACATTTTGGACCAAATAATTCATTGCAGTGAGGGGCTCCCCTGTGCATTGTGGGATGTTTAGCAGCATCCCTGGACTCTTCCTCCTAGATGTCAGTAACACCTACCTCCTCACTTGTAACAGTTACAAATTTATCCAGGTAACACCAAATGTGCCCAGAGGGAGAAAAATTGCTTCTGGTTGAGAACCACTGATGTAAAGGGAATGTTTATACACATCAGGAGCCATAGATTCTTAATCCCAAATCAGTATGGGCTGATGGGGAGAAAGCAGAGTTAGCATTAGGTTCCATCAACTCCTGTTCCATAGCCCACAAACTGGTCACTTCTCAAGGGACCCCATCTGTTGTTCACCACAGCAAAAACAGCTTCCAGCACCTGGAAGAGAGCAATGCTCAACAACCACAACAGATGTTAAGAGAGTAAGCAGATGGATGGATGAATGAATGAAGGATGAAAAGAAAAATGTGCGTGATTATTCAGTGTTACTCTGGGGAAAGGAGTAACTTAGGTGGTATGTACGTAAGAAAAGGAGATATTTTACTATTATACTTAAAAACATTTGTACTTGAATTTTATCACTCTTACTTTCATAGTTTCGATAATTTTAAATGATTTATTTTTAAAGCACTCTGAAATCAAACCAAGCCTTTTCTCCCTAATAAATCTTTAATTTGCCTAGGTTTTTCTTTTAACTACAAAAGTGGACTTTAGCCCTAGTTCATATTCTGAATATATAACCAAATCTGAAGCATATTTTTTTTTCTTTTAACTCATGAGTAAACAGCACTATAATGTAAATATTTGTGAATGAAAGAGGTTTATGTTGGAGGAAAATGTACTTAGCACAAAAGTAACTTAACACAGTACATTCAGTTGTGTGCCTTGGCCTTGAGGGTGGGGATTGGAGTAGATGTATCGTCACATCTCCAGCCCTACAGAGCTTGTGCAGTGGGGGCCCTCAGAAATCGTATGCTGAAAAAATGATGATAGAGCTTCATACGCATGGCTTTGGTTGCTCCTGTTTTAGTTTGTTCAGACCAAGATTATTACGGCAGGATGAGAGGAGAGGGGGCTTGAGCCCTCTGAGAAGAACAGCTGTCTGAGCCTTTCTGCTTAAGGCAGACAGAAGAGGTCCAAGGGCAAGGGAATAGGCCAGGGAGTGTAAAGAGAAAAAGGCAATTTATGGGGACAGCTGTTGCTCCTCTTTTCCTCTGCTACTAGCCAGAAACTGGATCAAATTCTTCAATGTCAGCAGACCCTCCTCCTGCAGTCAAAACCCCAGCAACACAAAACTGTCTAGCCCCAGCCCATGTGACACCCCACTCCTGCAGAATTGTCATCTCTCCCCTCACCTCCACCCCAGAGGGAAAGCCCAACTACCTAGGTCTCTTGATATCAGGGCTCCAGGAGCCAGAAGAGCCTGGCGTGCTTTCGAGAGGAGGTCATTTGTTTACATGAAGCAGGCAGAGCTCAGGGATACAGAGCAATCCATCTGCCTTAGCGACCAGACAGGCTTCCTTCACCTCAATCTCCTGCAGAAGCGGTCAAGGAGGGAGGTTGGGCCAGGTGACCTTCCAGAGCTGAATCTGTGCTGCTAAAAATAGAAGCATCCTTAGAGAATCAAGGAGGGGAGGAGAGGCTATGGATGTTGAGGGCAAAAGCTGGACACCCCAGAGCATTATCATTATGAAGCTATGTTAGTTAGACCCAGACACCCAGCTTGATAACCTCAGGTATCACAGAAATTGAAACTAAAAAAACTGGCTCCCCCCCCCCACACACCCATTTCTGGTTCGATTTTCCCTGGGCTAAAAAGGAAAAAGAGAATGGTGTCTTCTGACCTATTTGATTGGCTACACACTGCCCGAGGAGATGTTTTCCCCAGCAGAGAAAAGTGGGGCTTCTTAGAGACATACCAAGGAGAAGCAAAAGCTTCAGCAGAGTGGGAGCCCAGTGGTCAGCAATCGGGGGCTGTGGGGCCTGGATCCCCTCGTGTGTCCGCCTGCCTGGAGAGACTGCGCAGGGCTGGGCAGGTGTCTGAATGTGTCGAGGGCTGTGGATGTGTGGGCTCAGGGCTGCTGCTCTGCAGAGTGTTTGCAGGCCTCAGTGAAGCCACATCCTGCTCTGCATAGGTTGTGTGTGACCAGGTTGTGTGCAGGGTTCTGTGGGTAGAGGGGGGTGTGTGTGCACTCACGCATGTGTCTGGATGGAGAGTGTTTGCAGGAGTGCATGGAAGTATTGCAGCAAACTTGGTGGGGGCCATGTAGGGGAGAGGGATACATATGGATGGTGACTATTTGTGTGCCTGTATGAGGTTCGTGGGAAAAACTGCGGGCGAAGCTATGTAGGAAACCCTGGATGAGGAGTCTCCAAGGGGCTGTATGGAGACCCATTTGAAAGAGTGCATGAGACTGTGAGGGGTGTGTACAGAGCATGTGTGGGCTGCCTGTGAGGCAGGCAGCACTGCTGGGTACTCTGTGTAGCTTTGTCCTGGGGGCTGTGTGGACTATGGTGGGGATATGAGTGAAGTCGCATGGGCGTCTCCATGGGGATAGTTAGCCTGTGGGGGCTTCTGTTCTCTGCAGGGCTGCAGGTAATGAGACAGAAGGGACATAACCCAGACGGTCTGCAGTTCTGCCATCTAAAGATGAGTGTGTTTCCTTAGGGAGGGGGCTCTGGAAGTAGGAACATTTATTCTTGTGATTGATGATGTGAAGGGAAAAGACATGAGGGATTTGGGAGATAAGCAGAAGGACCAGTGCAGCCCCTTGCAATGCTGCCCTGCCCCTGCCTCTGTGTGCACCAGGCTAAAGACACTTTCTTTATTATGATTATTATTTTATGTTTAAAATTTATTTATTTTTTAATTGAAGGATAATTGCTTCACAGAATTTTGTTGGTTTCTGCCAAATGAAGATATTTCTAGTGCTTCAGTTTTTGCTTTCTCAACAGGACAACGTGGATCTTGGAGAACTGATGTTTTCCCTCTGCTATCTTCCCACGGCTGGCAGGCTGACCATTACCATTATAAAAGCAAGGAATTTAAAGGCAATGGACATAACAGGAGCATCAGGTGGGACAACCTCAAATTCAGATTTCCTCCTACAGTTCTTATATAGCACCTCATGAAGCTTCCAGTAGAGTAATAAAGGTACATGGACTTCGGAACCAAACTGCCTAGGTTTAAACCTAGTCCTAGACCTGATAGCTGTGTGATGCTGGCAAGTCAGTCTCTCTGGGTTTTAGATCCCCATCTGTAAAAATGAGGATAGTAATAGTGCCTGGTTCTTTGGGTTGTTACAGGATTATGATGCCTAAGAATACTGCGTGGCACACAGTGAATGCTCCTTGGTGTTAGCTCTCATTATTACTACTAGTATTCCCTTAGGTCTTCTCCTCCACGTGACTGTGTACTGGACCCATAGTTTGCACATGCTGATATATCTAATTGGGTCATTCCTCAGATACAAGCAATTGTCACCTCAGGCTTTTAGAAGATTGATATCCTATATCCTTCTATGAAAGGTCCATCAGTGAACTATGTAGTTTGGTTTTTCCATTGAATTAAGCATGTATCCTTAAATTTTAAATCCTCATAGAGGGACTTCCCTGGTGGTCCAATGGTTAAGATTCCACGCTTCCAATGCAGGAGCATTAGTTAGATTCCTGGTGGAGGAACTAAGATCCCATGCTGCTTGGCATGGCCAAAAAAATAAAAAAACAAACAAAATCTTAACAGAAGGTATCCTGAAATGGAATTCCTTTCTATAAGTTTACAAGCCACCTCTGCAGGGGTTCCCAAAATGTGGTCACAAAATGCCCAGTCCACTGGCTTTTGGTCACTGAGATCAAAAGATGCAATATATTTTGCCTCCTGGATACCAGTGTTTTATTCAAGCAGAAAAAAAAGAGATGTGACCCCTTCTGGCCCTCTAAGTCCTCCTGGACAGTGTATGAGTGTCAGGGCCACCCATGGTTATGCAGGTGAAGCAAGGAGAAGGCCCCACGGAGCAGGAAAATAGTGAGGTGAAGCCAGGAATGTCCCACCAGGTGCAGAGACCAGCCTCGTCCCCTGGTCTTGCAGCATGGCCCCACAAGCAAGCCTGCATCCTTTCTCTCTCCGACCTGCTGAATTGCTTCCCCCTTCACAACTCGACTGCAGGCAGCTCAAGAGCTTGAAGCCCCTGCACTGAAGGACATCCACCCGCACCCCAACTTCTCACTATGTCTAGGTGTTTAGCTTCTCCCTTTCCTAAAGGCCTGTGTTTTAGGAAAAGACTCCGTGGGGTGGCTCCGAGTCAGAGCGTGCCACCTCTTCCCCCGTGCCTTGAAAATGGCTTGCGTTTCCCTTCCTGTGGCAGCCTGGCAAGTCCTGAATCCTAGCTGGAACATTTCTAAATTGATAACAAATGTTTTCACACTATTTTTAAATTCCACACATTTTGAGGAGAGTGTGTCCTGTGCTTTTTCCTGAATGAATGACTTAATTACCCCAACTTCAGTTGTTGCCCAGACATCGTATAAATTAAAATCCTTAGACTCCAGTCCTCAGGCAGGTGAAGGGCTTCTGCACCCTGTGGGCCTTGAAACTCCACCATGACGAAACTGCTGGCCTAAATCTACGTGTCTCCTCACAGTACCCCTGCTTCTCATGGTCTGTGCAGATCCCTACGTGAAAGTCTCACTGATGTGTGACGGCAGACGACTGAAAAAGAGGAAAACATCCACCAAGAGGAACACTCTGAATCCTGTTTACAATGAAGCCATAGTCTTTGACGTCCCTCCTGAGAACATTGACCAAATCCACCTGTCCATAGCAGTCATGGACTATGACCGGTGAGATGCCTGGAGCTGTGTCCCATTGCAAACCCACTGTGCCCAGGACCGGGGGAAGGGGCGGCAGCCGTGGATTCCTAGCTGGTGTCCTAGTGCCGCCATTAAGCAGCGCCCTGAGAGCTGACGGACAAGGAGTCAAGCCTCTAAGCGCTCCTAGTTCTCGTGTCTCTCCCCTCCTCCGTCCTCCTGTCTCTTCCTCGCTTCCCCTCTCCATCCCTGTACACCCCTTAGAATCTCAGCTTGGAGAACTGTGGGCCCCACAGATCTTAATCTTCCCTCAGGCAGTCCTACCTGGCCTTTATCAGAAAGATTCCACTCAAAACAGCAGCATGATTACTTGAGCCAGACCATCAACATTTCTAAATACACAGCTTCATTCTTTTTTTTTTCTCTTCTCCCAATATGTTTAATAAAGATCATTTCTATCCACTTAAGTCTGAAAGCAAACACAGAAATGTTCTGTTGAAATTGCTAGAATCAGTATGGATGACGGGGTACATTAAAATGTATAAGATGCTCAACTTTAATTAATACTGCACAGAAGAGATATTTATAACCTGCATTGTAGCCAATTGTGTATTTAAAAGACTGATTTGAAAAACAGTTATTTTAATATGCAAAGGAAGTACCAACAGGGAATTATACATGTTAAACCAGTCATTAGACTAAAATGCAAAGTCTTTTTTTAATTGGAAACCTCCCACGTGGTCTGGGCACAATTATTTAAAAAAAAAAATTATTCTGACTTCTAATGTCTTACAAAATCATTTGCAGCTAAAAATTTTCCCACAGACCCTGAAATGTCAGCCCAGCAGCCTCAGTGCCCTGAACACTCTTTCCAGCAGATTTCTGGGTGAAACATAATCGTCTTGCAACCCAGGGAGCACATCCATTGGCTCGGCTGCACATGGGTGTGACAGCACACGCTGGGCTGTAGACCTCATCCTGTCCCTCTGGATGACACACAACACCGATAGTGTCAGGCCACAGGAGGGAACATGGCCCACCAGCCGTGGAAGGCTGGGCCAGTATTTTTCAAGCTATTGCCAAGTTTCCCACATCGACAAATCTGATTATGTGAGCTCTGCTTCAATTTAATTCTCAATAAACTCATGAATCTGGCCTGGAAAAATCCATGGCAAAATTCATGGGGCTTCTGCATGCAACTGATTTTAATGAGCATAGAATCCAATATTCTTCACACTACTTTTCCACCCTTGCCTCCCCCTTGCACTGTCCATAGGAGAAAAATCCCTCATCTTTGCAGGAAGGAAAGAGAAAGAGCCTGTGAATTTGGATCTCAGAGTATTAAAGGATGAGCCATGTAATTCTGGATGCGTGCAAAGGACTTATAACCAAAAACTGGAAGGAAAAAAAAAAACTATCCAAGGCAGAGACCTATCCGAGGATGTTTCAGAAATACTAGCTAGGTATTAAAGGATCTCAGTGTTTTCTACAGTAGGGGACTGAAGTTGGGTCAGAGAAGCAAAGCTGGGCTTGGAAGAAAGGAGGGAAGAGCATGAAAAGGCAACATGTTTTATAAAGAGAGGTCTTGCAAGAGGTAGGAGCCACCTCCATTCTGCCCTTGTCAGTTCAAGGCTACAGCTGCCAGACTCAGAGCTCTTCCATGGCCCATTCTTGATTCCCGTTTGTGAAAATTAAACAGCCATCAGTGCAAGAAACTCTTTTCAGTGCCCCCATTTTTCATTACATAGATCTGAAGGCCTGAAGTCAGCCTTGTTCCAGAACCAGTGGCAGCATCTTTTGTGTGTGTCAGGGAGTTTTTCCAACTCAGGGTTCTCGGGAACAAGCTAAGTCCTGCCAGTGTTAAGACAGCCCAAGTGTGTGAGGGCCAGACTTTGGGCTTCCTCTCTGTGCCTCCCGAGTGCCATATTGGTCCCCAAGTCCTAGTGGCTGTTAAGGTTGATCTGTGCTTTTGCATTCGGGAGTGAAAAGAACCAACCCTTTCCTAATTCCTCTATGTTTATTTGAGTAGTTGCTGTTCTTACATAACAAAATTTTAGGGAAAAAATAACTATTGTGGACCATTTCACAGTGTAGGTCACAATGAGATCATCGGCGTGTGTCAAGTAGGCAACGAAGCTGAGAGGCTGGGCAGAGACCACTGGAGTGAGATGTTGTCATATCCACGCAAGCCCATCGCACACTGGCATTCCCTGGTGGAGGTAAGACCCTGCTCCCATGTGCACCCCTTTGCAGAAGGATAAATGCTTTACAGTTGAAATGCAGGAGCCACAAAAAATGTGAGTGTACCGGGTTCTGTGGTCATCGATGGGTTTCCCTGGTTGTACTTCCTGGGACTGTTCCCTGGGAATTGGATTCAGTCTGCTCCCTGCCAGTCTGCTAGGTTTCAAACATTGACCAGGGATCATCCTTCACTTTGAATGTTTTCAAAAAAAGATCTAGATTCTCTTATTTTATGTCATGGCTTTGGATTGACATTCGGAGGGCATCTGCAAGATCTGAGTAAGTGTGGAGTGTCAGGCCATCATAGAGTGACTTATAGCTGGCATCAGAAAGAACTGGAGACTGGTGGAGATGAAGCGTGGATTTTAGGACTAGCTCTACCATAAACCTGTGATTCTGGGTTAGTATCAATTATATATGATGAAAAAAAAAAAAACAACCAAATTAACAAACCACAAAATAGCAAGTGAAATGAAAACTTATTTCTCTCTCACATAATAAAGGTTCAGAGGAAGGCTGTCTAGGCTGTTATAGTGGCTCTGTGATTAACAGAAATCAAATCAAATCTATCCTTCTGCCTCCCTGTCCCGATGTGGGGTTTTTTTGTTTGTTTGTTTGTTTGTTTTGCTTTTTGTGTTTTTTTGAGGTTACCTCCTTGAACATGGCAGCTAAGCTCCAACCATCACATATCTTCTGGTCATAGAAAGATAAAGACACAAGCCAAAAGCACATACCTTCCTTTTTAAAGGATTTTCCTTGATGTCTTACGCAGCACTGCTCCTTCTATTTATTTTTTTTTCATTTATTTTTATTAGTTGGAGGCTAATTACTTTACAATATTGTAGTGGTTTTTGTCATACATTGACATGAATTAGCCATGGATTTACATGTATTCCCCATCCCGATCCCCCCTCCCACCTTGCTCCTTCTATTTAATTTAGTCACAGAACTTAGTCATAAGGTTATGTCTGGTTTCAATGGAGGGTAGGAAGTATACTCTTTTTGTTGGTGGCAGTGTGTACAACTAAAAAAGCAGGGTTCTGATTCTGGTTGCAAGGTAGAAGATGGATACTTGCAGGCAATGGACCATGGTTCTGCCTCCCACACTTATTCATTCACTTACTCCCCTATCCTTTCCTTCTCATTCTTCCCCCATTCATCCTTAACTCAGTGACACACCCTCTTTTTTTATTTACTAACTCTTTCAGGAATAAATTGCATTCACTGAGTGACATTTCTGTGGGTCAAATGCCATATTAGATAGAAAAAATATATAGATATAAGAAACCTTTCCTTTCCTCAAAGAGCTTGTATACTCTAAGAGAGAGGATGGCGTGTAAACTAACCACTGAAGTGCACCATCGTAAACATTATCATCCCCATCAGATACTGTGGGGCACAAAGGAAGGAGGTGTTTGTCATGCTTGGGTGAGCTTGTCCACGAAGTCTTAGTCCCTCCTGCTCTTGGGAAGTGAACTGAGCCCCTGGGAACAAGAATATGAGGGTGTGTGGGTTCCAGGCAGAGAACTCCCTCTTATTCTCCCAGGGCAGGCAGCTCTGTTCCCTGCAAAACCGTCTTGAGAGGCCGAGATCAGAGCCTTGCTCGCTCAGTGTGGGTTTCACTGCCCTGGACAGTCAGGAGAGCCTAAGTAAGCATGCAGGGCAGCTGTGGAGAGGCAGGAAGTCCCCAGGGGATGAAGGGACAGTCTTTGTTGGAGATGGCACCGGAGGGGAAGTGCAGGACATGATCCGCGGGCTGATTCTAAGGTTCAGGGCCTCCAGGTGGTATACTCCAGGAGGGCCTGGGGGCCCCCTAATTTTCAGGTCCCTGAGGACACCTCTGTCCTTGGGCCACAGAAACGAAGGCTCTTTCCTGGGTTCAAAATTAATCCCTGCGGGAGACCATTGAACCTGTGAACCACTTGAGAAGTAGCTAGGGGACTGGTGCTGACTCCGACGCACCTCACTTCCTCAGGTCCTGGTGGAATTCTCAAAGGAGTCCATCTGTGGGCTTATATAATTGCTGGAGCCTGTCACTAGCAGCGGCAGAGCACTTGTAATAGACATTTTGCACCCAACTTTCATTCTTATTTGTAATCTGGAGTGTTAAGAAGTGTCAGAGCTTCTGAACACAAGGATTGGGAAAGGAGTGAGGACCAGGGTGCAGCGTGGAGCTGAGACAGGAGCCCTGATTCTGTGCACAAGCCCCTCCCTGTCCGTGGCCTTGCCAGGGAGTGCCTGGGGGTGGCCCCCATGAGCCCCCAAGCATGGCACGTGCACCTCACAGGAGGGAACGTGTAGAACGTGGGCCTCGGAGGCTCCGCTCACCACCCAGGAGAAAGGGCTGTGTGACTGGGCCGCCCAAGAGACGAGCCTTTAAACCCTGAGCACTTGGCTTATTGCAAATCCGTGTTTGACGGTTATGTGAGAAAGAAGTGTTTTTAGGGTTAAACCACTGAAACTTGGGATTTGTTTGTTAACAGCAGCTAAAATTACTTCAGCGATTACAGTGGTCTTTTCTCAACCATTGCTGCAGAGCTAGGGAAATGAAATGTCCCTTATATGAAAGGCAAATGGAGGGAGGCTTTCCTGGCCCTGTTGCTTCCTGTGTCTTTGAAGTACATGCCCGAGACTTTGAATCCATCCTAAGCAGGGAAGGAATATTTTCTCTTTTAAGAACAAATGTGTAATGAGCAGAACTGCTGCAGTGGAACTGGATGAGGTGAAAAGCGGTGTCAGAGGGGTGACCACGCTTTGCTGACAGCTGTCAGGATGGAGGAGGCTATGGGCAGAGCAGTTGGAAGTGCTCACTTTGGGCTTGGATGGACCTAGACTCAAATCCCTGTGGTACCTCTCAGTTGCGTGTGTCCGTCCCTTTCTGAATCTATTTTCTCCTCTGTTAAGTGGCCATAATAGTGCCTGTCCCACAAGGGTGGTTGTGAAGATTAAACAATCTAGTGTATGTGAAGCATCATGGCTGGCACCCAGTAAATGTTCAGTAAACTTCCCAGTTACCACCATTATTTGTGTAGGTCCTATAATGCTGTGTGTTCTCAAGGACTGGCGCACAAAGAAACATCATAATGTTTGTCATAGAGGGAAAAAAGTTTGGATATCCCTCACCCCCCACATGCTGGTGAGTGGTCACCTCAAACTGGGGGAAGGGGTCGTTTGTGACTTGGCTGGATGTAGGTACAGGTATTTCAGTTCTATTCTTTCTCCTTTCTTCCTTGGCCTTAAAGATAAGTTACTGTTACACTAAGAACTGTTACATTTTCTACTTTAAAACAAAAATAGCAATTAAGTTGCTGTTCTCTCTGTGTGTACATAAGCATAAGTATAAAAATGAATGAGAGAGAGAGAGAAAAGAGAAGATACAGGGTAGTTAGGATTTAGTATGAAGGAAGGCTGGCCTGGCAGATGCTCTTTGCTGCTGGGGGCTGTGGGGCCAGATTAGGACTGAACCCTTGGACCTGCAGAGATCTGGCAGCCTGCCTGGGGCTGCATCCAACACACCCTGACTTTGTCAGAGCAGGTGGCAGATGGAGTCTTCAAAGCCAGGGAGTTCAAAAATCCGTTTCTCTCTCAGGAATTCTGGACGGCTTCACTGCACACTCAAAGGTCAGCCAGTGCCGCTTCACTCTCCTGTCTCCCCATGATGTCAGTGGCTCAGAAAGCTGTGTCAACTCCCTCCGAGCAGCTGCCTGGGCCCTGGGGACAGGAGCATCCCCTCCACAGGCCCTCAGGAGATGACAGAGCTCTCAGGGCTCCCCCCACAGTCCCCTCTTCTGTATATCCAAAAGAAGATGGTGCTGAGCACCTTTCCCACCCCGACACGTGGAGCTGACCCCACCATGCGCTCTGGGGAGAGAGAGAGAAATAGCTCCAGGTTTCCATCGCTTCCTTGTGAAATGTTGTTTGACCTCTGGATTAAAAAGTAGTGAATTTCATTGATGGAAAGACCAGACCACAGACACCATTCGGTTAAAGCAGTTTTTACTTTTCTAAAAGGGATAGAATCCCATCAGAATGTACAATGAAGGTCAGCAGTATTCCCCCTGATTGACAGAGATGCAAGATTCTAAATCCCAAAGCCCTGCTCAGGGGGTACTCAAGTGTGCGTAAGTCTTCCTCTCTCCAAACTCAGTCTTTTCCCTGTATACCTGGTTAGTCTTGACACTCTGCAGGACCACCTCAAGAGCTGAAAGCCCCTACAACTCTCGGTTGTGCAGTTCCTAGCATAAGTAGTGGTGGGTGTAGCACCGTACACCCTGAGGTGAGCAGAGTTCTCATCTGCCCCCTTGAGGGTGTAAACTTTGAGCTGTGTAACTAAAGCAAATGTCATCACCCAGACTCAACTGGGAGTTACCGTTGCAGGCCCTTTACATCAACTCTAGATATTATCCATCAAGTGCCTGGCAGGCCTACCCAAAGTCTTAGAGGGCCACATATTCTCAAGATTGCCCAAGCTGGATTAAGTGTCCACTCCTGGTCCACTTTGCTAGAGGCCAAGGTCATGGAAATGCAACCTGGTCCCACTCCAGTAGGAGTGTTGAAAGTAGACTTCCTGAGAAAGGTCCGCCCCTTCTCAGGGAAATGGACACAAGTGACCTCACCTGATTCCCAGAAGATTTTGAAGTGAGGAAGTCAAAGGCTTTAGCACTCTGGGCCAGCTGTTACTCGTAACAGATTTAGGAAAGAGGAGCGATGCCCCAGAAAGAGGAGGGGCTGACTGGAAGAAACCAAGCAGATCAGGTGCCATCACGGAGTCTGAATGTGTGTAGGCTCGGGTCCTGGTAAGGATCAGACCAGCAGAGAAGGAACCGGAGGCCAGAAAAAAAAAACCATGATGCTAGGCAGAGAGAGTGGGAAGGCCCAAGGGAAAGTTGCCGCGCTCTCTCCTTCCTCCGCAAGCCGCCGCCTGGAGAGGAAAGCACAAAGACCCTGGTGGTGGGGACAGCAGTGTGCTTGCGTCTGA